TGGGGTTCGATTCCTCCGCCCCTCTTGGAGAGCCTGGCAAGCTACCAAGAGTATCTCACCTGCATGGCAAAGCCTGGCAAGCTACCTGTGACGTATTCAATATGCCAAAAACAGAAACAACAAGCCTCAAAATTTGTTGTGAGACGTTACTGGTGCCCGCTTGAGCAAATTGATGAACAACAGGAAGACAGTACTACAGTGCTTGAACTTGATTCAAACTGATGGTTCCATGTTAGCCTAGCTCAATCAGTACAAGCCCAGCTTCTACTAAAGTCTCACTCATCCTCAGATTTCACAGATTTTTATTTCTTTGTTTTAGGACCATACCAAGTGGTGCTTGGGGCTCCTATAGGTACATGGTTGGGGGACCAGGATGTATCCAGAATTGGGGTCCTGTACATAGAAGGATGCCCTCCAGTCCCTCACCTGGCATTTTCACATAACACAAAAGGGAAGAAGCATGTGTGCCTGGACTTGCTAGATTTCCAGATTCAGTAAGTTGAGCTATTCTCTGAGCTGTTCTGTTCTATTGCATTTTTATTATCCCTTATCATATTTTCTCATAAATTTTCTCACAGGACAGAAAACTCCACTCTGAGTCACTGGATGTAGCTGTGCAAGACCTGTGCAGACAGGTTTTCTCAAAACACAGGAGGCCGAATCAAGAGGTGTGTGTGTGTGGGTGCTTCTGTTGGAGGAGGGAGATGAGAGAAAAGGAGGGAGGAGGAAATAGGAGTGGGGAAGAGAGAAGAGAGAAAGGAAAGCAAGAACCAAGAGACAGAGAAAGTGAGGGGGAGGCGGAAGAGGAGGAGGTGGAAGAGGAGGAGGAGGAGTATGACAGAGAGAGGGAGGAAGGAGCCGGAAGAAGCAGAGTGAGGGAAACTATAGATGGAGAAAAGTGAAGCCTGAGGATGAAGTAACCAATGACAAGAACCATATGAGTTGTATGAGCCATATAAAGAAGTGAATCTGGAGTGGGTTCCAAGCAGTGGGCAAAAAAACCAGTGCATCTTCTTGAAGTGTCTTTGAGGGTTTCTGAGAATAGTTCTCTGAATAAGATGGATTTCTAAGAGCTTAGAAATCACTTCAGAAAACCTCATTCCCAACTGGAGGTGGTACTCAGTGGTTGAGCATAAGCCTCATGAAGCCTAAGTTCCATCCCCGCCCACGTCCTACCCCAAGAAACCTCACTCTCCTTGTGACGACTGCAAAAGCTGCCTTAGGGTTACTTGATGAACTGTCAAGGAAAGATGTAAAGGAACCAGAGGACCTGAACACAGAGAAATTAACATTCCCCATGTCAACCTTAACGTTTGAAAAAGTTTGGCCAGAGAGATAATACAGACAGCAAGGTGCAAGGAGCTTGCCTCGCACATGGTTGCCACAGGTTCAATCCCTGGCAACCCATATGGTCCCATGGGCCCCACTGAGTGGAATTGGGAGTAAGCCCTGACCGCAGCTGGGAGGTGGCTCAAAAACAAAAAACAACTCCCCCATACTCTTCAGGAGATTAGACTGAGTATGATTTTCTTCTCATCAAATTTAGTAAGTCACTTTCTGACTTGAGGCATTTGCAAAATTCGTCTGGACTCTCCCAATGTCCCTCCAGCAGTCACGTTCCCCTAACTTAATGCTAACGTTCAAGATGGCACTTTTGTGCCTCATTTAAAAGACATCATCACAAATCCACTCTACCAGATCTGATTTCATGTGCCTGACCTTGAAAGATTACAAAATAGGTGATGAAGAATTTTATTATCATTGCAACAAATTCCTAAAATATCCTGGGATGAAATATCATTCTCAGCAGCATATCAATCCTTATCTAGATTATAGCACCTTCAATGTTTATATTTGTTGGTAATCAGGATAGTGTGATGTCTATCTGAATTTCATATTTAAGTATTGACATTTAAAATGTATATTTACTGACAACTATAGATAATCCATCTCACAGCACAGTTTTTAGTTTCCAAGTTTTCAAAAAATATTTTCTCCTGCACTTTATTAAAATGTGAATACCTAGCATATGTATGATAAAGTAAAAGTTGTTCCTGTGGTGAGCAAGGATTGCTTACTTCCTTTTCTGGACATTCTCACTACCATATTAAGGACGATTAGTACCGAGCAAGTCAATTATTGTGTCTAGTTCTTTTAAATTAGTTTCTGAAATTTCTTCATGCCATGGATACATCTATCGATAGAGAAATATACACATATTACATTTGTTCTCTTACCCATTTCTCAGTTCTTCTATCTTCCTTCTTCCTTTTCATTAGAAATCTATGTTCTATGATCTTGTGAGCTCTTTCATAGGCATTAATAGCCTTCCAGAATTGTGAACTTGTGGAATGTTCACCAGACCAGATGGTAAATTACCAACCATGTACTTAAGACAGGCTGAAGTAGATCATTATTCAAATACCTATTTTTCTCTTCCACTTTTGATATGGAATATCTTTGCTACAGAGAGAGTTCTCAATTCTTGGAACCAAAAACTTTCAAATATTTTTTGTTTGCTTTTGGGATAACTTCTCTGAAAGGCACTGTCTATACCACTGATATTTTAAACTAATTAAGACTTACTTTATTAGTATATAAAGAATAATAAAAATAAAATAATATTAATATATTAGTATATAAATAATCCAATTAATAACTAATATTCAGAAAAATATTTCATTATCTTATCTTAAAGCTCAATAGCATAGAATTTGTGATGAAATTTTTTATTGAGGCATCATAATGACACAGAATTTTTATGACACTAGTTCCATAAACTACATTTTCCTTTTGAAAAATATATATTTTATTGTACAGCATTTCTTTTGTAAGGAAACAAAGGCATTGAAACTATTTGGCACATGTATCACTTTCCTTCCAAGGGTAAAATCCACTAAGAATGAAGACAGTATTTAGAATTCTCTGAGGGTCAAAGAGATAGTACAATGGTGCTAAGGCTTTGCATGTGGCAAAGCCCTGAGCATTGCCAAATGTGGCTGTCAAAAAAAAAATATAGCTCTCTGAAGAATTTATTAGTACATTAATATTTTAATTATATATGAGTAGTAAAACAAGTACTGATGCTTTTTTGCTGGGTAACTTTTTATTGTGGGGGACTTTATTTTTGTTGGGGGCGGGGCTCACATCTGGCAATGCTCAGGGTTTACTCCTGGCTCTGCATTTAGGAATCATTCCAAGAGGACTTGGAAGACCTAAAACAATGGAGATTTTTGACTGGGGATGTTGGCTCAACAGTAAAGCATACCTTGCACATGCGATGCCCTAGGTTTGGTCCTAAGCACTAAATAAAATAATTTTTTAATCTATAAGTAATTTTTTGCTGGAGAGATAGCACAGCGGTAGGGCATTCGCCTTACAAGCGGCCAACAAGGCCGACCCAGGTTCGATTCCTCCGCCCCTCTCGGAGAGCCCGGCAAGCTACCGAGAGTATTCGATATGCCAGACACAGTAACAACAAAGTCTCCAATGGAGACGTTACTGGGCCCGCTCGAGCAAATCGACGATCAACGGGAGGGCCTTTACCTCGAGCAAATAAGTAATTTTTTAATCTATAAGGGCTGGAGTGATAGCACAGTGGTAGGGCGTTTGCCTTGCACGCAGCCAACATGGCCGACCCGAGTTCGATTCCTCCGCCCCTCTCGGAGAGCCCGGCAAGCTACCGAGAGTATTCGATATGCCAGACACAGTAACAACAAAGTCTCCAATGGAGACGTTACTGGGCCCGCTCGAGCAAATCGATGATCAACGGGAGGGCCTTTACCTTTTACCTTACTTTTACCTATAAGTAAACAATTTAACAATAAATTAAGTAGGATCAAATTCTCATCTATTAAAAAAAAACTACCCACAAACACCGCCCGTCTCCCCAAAAAAGACCCTATGGGTGCTAAGAAAGGATAAGATGTTTGCCTTGCACACAGCCAACCAGGGTTAAATTTCTGGCACCAAATATAGTCCACTGAACATTACTGGGGGTGAACTCTGAGCACAGAGCCAGGAGTAACTCCTGAATAAAATATCTTTAACAGTATCATGCTAAGCAAAATGAGTCAGAAAGAGAGGGACAGGCATAGAAAGACTGCATTTATCTGGGGAACATAAAGTAACAGAATAGGAGACTAACACCCAAGAATAGCTGAGATAAGTACCAGGAGGTTCACTCCATGGCTTGGAGACCAGCCACACATGCTGGGGGAAAATCAGATAGAGAGGGAAGCACAGAGTAAAGGGTGTTGGGAGGATCCTCTCGGGATGAGAGATGCATCCTGAAAGTAGACTATAGACCGAAACATGATTGCCACTCAATGCCTCTTTTGCAAACCACCGCACCCAAATGGAGAGAGAGAACAAAAGGGAATTCTCTCCCACAGAAGCAGGGTGGGTGAGGGGGTTGGGGGAGAAGGGATATTGGGACCCCTGGTGGTGTAGAATGGGCACTGGTGGAGGGCTGCGTGTTTGATCATTGTATAACTGAAACCCAAGCACAAAAATTTGTAAGTCTACAACTGTACCTCATGGTGTTTCACTAAAAAAATTTTAAAAATTATCTTTGATATTGATAGATTCACTTATCCTAGAAAAACAGCAACACTATTGTTTTCTGCACTGTTATGCAGGCTTTATTGCTAAATTACATAATTACATTTTAGTGATCATCACAAAGCCATGAAATAACTATCAGAATGACTACCGGAGAAATTTTAGCATATGTACCATTTTCAAATAAAGGGCGCCCGAACTAAAATAAATTGGGGAAAGGTAAAGACTTTCTTGAGACATTCCTATTTGTGGTGAAACAAGGCCTCGGGGCTAGATAATTGGGTATAGAGAGTGAGGTAAGGTTTTGTGACAATGGTTTCGTGTGTGTTCCGTTAGAGATGGAGAAGGCTGCTTCTAAACACTATTCATTACTTAAACACTAATAACAGAGAGAGACCAAGATACAGACAGAGATAGACACAATTTATATACTTTACCATCCCCGGGGATGATGCGGAGGGTAACTGTGTTTCCTGCTTCCTTGATTAGGTTGACAATGTCTGAATGGGACTTGTTGGTGATGGAACATCCATTCACTGCCAAGATCCGGTCTCCTACTTTCAGCTTGCCACATCGGTCAGCAGGGCTCCCCTCAATAATCCGACCTATTTTGTGAGGCATAGCCACACATGCATTGCCTGCTTTGATAGTGAGTTTCAATTTTTTTTTTAATTACGTGGGAATGTAGTAAAGAGAGGAGAAAAAGGGTCGAAAAGGGAAAGAGAAGGTTAAGTGTTAATTAATTAAAGCATCAAGCAATTGTTATTAAAGGAGAGCTCTGCGTTGCTGGTCAAAACATTGGCAATATTCAGGGTGTCAGTATACAAAGTCACAGCCCTGACATAATAATTCATTGTTGCAGTCCTGTCCTGACTCAAAGGAGGGGAAAACCCCAGGTTCCCTCCTTAAATCAATTACAAAATTTGGGATGTTTAGTAACTTCAAAGATTCTCAGGAGCCCCAAAATAACTTGCCATTTGCTTATTTTAGGACTGCAAATGTGAAACCAAGAACTGGGGTGGATGCTTTTATGCATTCTGTGTTCATGTCACTTCATTTTTGCCAGCTGTTGTTTAAGCTTCTGCCAATGTTTTGTTCTTTCTCCATTTAGAAAAATAATCACTGGGCGTCTGTTGAAGCCTAAGAGTCTGCTAGCATCAAAAATTCAATTTGAAAACACCTAATGCACAAACACTTAGATTTTCCGCCTTCTATCCAGGATGATGAAAGCTTTGGGGGAAAAAAAGGCATAATTACAAAAGAGGAGTCCAAAAAGCACCCAACCTTGACACTTATTTTTTCTTTTTTAGAAACCTCTACTCAATCAGTCCATCTCGTGGGCTTTTAGGGTAGGTTCCGAATGGCTCATTAGCTCTAATATGATCCTCTGTCTTTGTATAAAATCTTTTTCATATTCCTCTCATTTCAAAGGAATATGAAAATCCAGGACCTACTCAGCCTGAGGACAGTTATCCAAACCTGGGTTTAAATCATTCCTGAACGCCTTTCCCTTTGATCATGTTCTTTCTCATTATCAGTTACCATACATCAACAATATGAAAAACCAGAAAAGTTCATTTTCTGAAGACAAAGGTTTATTGTGAACAAATCACAACTCACTGCTAACTTGTAGAGGCGAGAAACTGGCTTTGAAACCTGACAGAGGGGTTTTAGCTTATCGTATGTTGAATTTTAAAGCTCCTGATACATATTCACCTATTTTGGGAATGTGTGTATCTGGAACTACTAACAGTTATGCAGTTGAATCACCTATGGAAAAGAGGGACGAAAAATAACATGAAACACTTCAAAATTAATTGAGCAGTTTTTTCTGTAATTTGATATGAAGAGAAAATATGTGGGAAATAATCTATAAATCCTCTGATTTTCGGCATACTGGCCTTAGTTTGTAAAACTAGATGTAATGTCAAGGTCAGAAATTTTAAAAAAAAGTTGAATCATCTTTTGGAACCATAGCAAGTGTGCCGGAAAGCTTCCACATTCAAATTCAAGTCTTGATTAAGTTTAGCCCATCTCCAAAAACAAATCTCATGAGGAAGGTACACAAAGCAAATACGAGAAAAGCTCTGCATAGCTCGGAACAGAAGTCTCATGCAAGGGATTAGGGAAAGTTTAATTGTTCACTGTAAGAGCCAGAGGAAAACAATCAAAGACCAAACTGTGATGACATTCAATATTGTTCAGTAACACATCGTCTCCCACTGACATATCTGCTGTTTCATTCCAGAAAGTGGAACTGAGAATTCTGAAATCCTGAGAACATCACAGGTTACATGAGGACAACTTGTGGATTGGAAGAAATAACTTGGGACTTGTGCCCCTTACCATCTGCCTTCCTCTTGAACGTAAATCAAACAGAAAAGGCTCCAAAACTAATTTCAAGTAAAAAACAAGCAAGCAAACAAAACCCCAGTACCCTGCAAGATGTCATGGCATCCATGCTTGATATGCTATGGTAACTTTAGTACTGTAGCTCACAGAAGCAGTTAGCAGTGGGGACTGGTTATTACAGCCACACATACACAGACAGGCACACACCTTTTCTCCTAGAATAAACCTTGTGGGAAATGTCTTAGCAGGAAATCACCCCCAAGATGAAATGGAGGCACATTCAGCCACATCAGAAAACTAAAGGAATGGGTCTCGGCTAGGAAGGAACTGGGGCCACAGGTCATCCCTCCTCGAGGACAAGCCATTTGGGGAGAGAGCAAAGGTAATTTTCAAAGCTCATGTTGGCCCTTCCTTATTTCCCATCATAGATAGTCCCTGAAAACAAATGTGCTTGGGTAATAGCAAATGACTTTTTGTCAATGAGGAAGATGTATTGCTTTGGGAATACGTATTTAATCCATTCTAATGGGAAACAGATTCAGAGATCACTAGTTCCTGGAGTCATCTGGGTCCCTATCTGTCTTTTTCAGGGCACCCAGGAGAGTTAACCTTCTGAAAAGGCAAGAAATGCATTTCTCCATAATACTCTGCTCAAAGTCCCACCATCTGAATGAGGACAGGAAAAAATCACCCCTGCTAAGATTTCAAGGGCAGTGAAGACAAATGGTTCTTAAATTTTAACTAGATTCTTAGCCAGGCAACTATATAAATACCACCCAAAACTGAAGAATAGAAAAAAGTTCAGGTAGGGATAAAGGCACACGTAAGGCAGGAAGGTCATTTCGTGTGATAACTTTTACTCCTCACACCTTTATATATTTTCCCCTGGGCATTTTTTAGTAGCCATCTGCTTCTTTTCAGAAGCTCTTAGCCCTTCTGATGGGACTGCTATCAACCATGCCCTGCTCAGACCCTTGCAAAGGGCTTTTTTGGCTAAGAACTCCCCACACTCTCTTGGGTCCGGGGGCTATGTTGCCAACTTTAGCCAGGCTTAACATCTGCCGAAAGTTGCAGGTGGGTGGGAACATACACTGAAAATGGGATGTTGGGGGCTGGAGTGATAGCACAGCGGGTTGGGTGTTTGCCTTGCATGCAGCTGACCCGGGTTCGATTCCCAGCATCCCATATGGTCCCCTGAGCACCACCAGGAGTAATTCCTGAGTGCAGAGCCAGGAGTAACCCCTGTGCATAGCCAAGGTGTGACCCAAAAAGCAAAAAAAAAAAAAAAAAAAAAAAAAAAAGGAAACTGGGATGTGAAGAGTGAAGAGTTAAAGGGTGGTGGTGGGAGCCCAACTGTCAGGAGCTTCCAAATAAACTCCATCCCCAGGGAGGGCGTGGTCCCTCCCCTACCCACCCCCAAGAGCGCGGAAAGGGCACTTCTGCCAGCTGAGACGCTGCCTGGCAAGGGACCGGGGAGGCGGGGGGCGCGTGCTCACCGAAGGTCGTGCCCGCCTCGGGCCGGCTCACCGACGACACGATGACGAAGCCGAAGCCCTCGTTCTCCCCGCGCCGGATCTCGACGTCGTAGGGCTGCACCACGGTGCTGACCACGCCGCTGCCGCCGCCGCCGCCGCTGCCGATGCCGCTGGTGCTGCCGCTGCCCGAGCTCACGGTGTTGAGCGAGTTCTGGCTGCCCTGCGGCGTGCGCTTCTCCTCGGTCAGCGAGGCCGGCTGGGTGCTGCTGTGGTGCGAGGAGGCCGGCGAGGGCACCTCGTTCTCCGCTTTGGGGACTGCGGCGGAGAGACGCGCGGCTCAGGCACGCGGCCTTCGGGACCAGCATCCCGCCCCGCCAGCATCCCGCCCCGCCAGCATCCCGCCCCGCCAGCATCCCGCCCCGCCAGCATCCCGCCCCGCCAGCCGCCCGCCCCGCCAGCATCCCGCCCCGCCAGCATCCCGCCCCGCCAGCATCCCGCCCCGCCAGCATCCCGCCCCGCCAGCCGCCCGCCCCGCCAGCCGCCCGCCCCGCCAGCATCCCGCCCCGCCAGCATCCCGCCCCGCCAGCATCCCGCCCCGCCAGCCGCCCGCCCCGCCAGCATCCCGCCCCGCCAGCATCCCGCCCCGCCAGCATCCCGCCCCGCCAGCATCTCGCCCCGCCAGCATCCCGCCCCGCCAGCATCCCGCCCGCCAGCATCCCGCCCCGCCAGCATCCCGCCCCGCCAGCATCCCGCCCCGCCAGCATCCCGCCCGCCAGCATCCCGCCCCGCCAGCATCCCGCCCCGCCAGCATCCCGCCCGCCAGCATCCCGCCCCGCCAGCATCCCGCCCCGCCAGCATCCCGCCCTGCCAGCCGCCCGCCCGCCCTGCGACGGCCCAGGGTGCAAGGCGGAACTTAGAAACACGGGGTTGGTCCAAAGGCCTTCTTGGAGAGGCATTTACGCATCAGTATCTCCTGGCACTGGCTCTACAGAAAAACACCCACCAAGTGATACCCCCACCCCTCAAGTCGGGTATCCTCCACGACTTAGACTTCAGTTTGTGAAGGGGAGGTCGCAGGTGTATTCAGATGGCCACTTCTCCCAAATCAACTCACTTTTCCAAACAATCTGGCTTTGGATTTTCCCATCCGGCAAGAGGTACTAACGTGACTGTACCGTAAAGGATAGGGGACTAGTCTCAAGGACAAAAGTAAACTAAGTTTCTCTTCCTAGCCTTAGGCTATCAAGTGTCCCAGTGATGATAACACTGAACAAATTAGCCTCCTTCGGAACGTCAGGATAGTTTTTATTTCTTGGGGGAGAAGGTGGTTATCAAGCAGCTCTAGTGGGCCCAGGGACCACTCGCAGGGGGCCCATCAGTTCTCTGACGAGGATGTGGCAGGGCATGTAATGCAGGGGACTGAGGTTTGGGCCTCATTTCGAATGCAAGGCATGCCCTCAAACTCTTGAGCCACTCCTAGTACCCAGAACACTTCAGTTTTACTGAATTCTGATTTAAGTCTGGGCCTCATTCTGAATGCAAGGCAAGCCCTCAATCTCTTGAGCCACTCCCAGTACCCAGAACACTTCAGTTTTACTGAATTCTGATTTCTGTATTTCATCAGGTAACAAGGTAAAAGCACTCCTAAATTTTGAAAACTGTAGGAAGAACTAACTTAAGTTTACATCAAACCAACTGATACTCAGGTTTGGGATACATCTACATTTACTCCCGAGGGCTTCTCCTTTGGATGTGTGTGTGTGTGTGTGTGTGTGTTTGGTAGTAAAGCCTACATCACTTTAAAACCATTCTTTTTTTTTTTTTCCTTTTTGGGTCACACCCGGCAATGCACAGGGGTTACTCCTGGCTCTGAACTCAGGAATTACTCCTGGCGGTGCTCAGGGGACCATATGGGATGCTGGGAATCAAACCTGGGTCGGCCTCGTGCAAGGCAAACGTCCTACCTGCTGTGCTATTGCTCCAGCCCCTTAAAATCATTCTTAAGTAAACAGTTCAGTGACATTGAGCTCAACCATACTATTTTGAAACCATCACTGCCATCCATCTCTAGAACTTCTTCTACACTAACATTCTGTGCCCATTATATACATGAACCATCTCTTCCTCCTAGCCCCTGGCTACCAACATTACACTTTTTGTCCATGCATTTGAGAACTATACAATCCTGAGAACTATACAATCCTAACATAAGAAGAATGATTCAATACTTGTTTTCTGACTGGCTGAGTTCACTTTGCTAAAAGTGTCTTCCAGATGTCTCTGACCTGTATCGATGAAATCCAAATAGTTAAGATTGCAAAGACCAATCTGAAATAAACAAATGTGGCATTGTTCTGTTAATTTTTTGCTTTGTTTTATTTTTGTGTCGCACTCAGGGCCAACTACTGGCTCTGCGCTCACTCCTGGTGGTGCTCAGGCGACCATGTAGAGTCGGCTGCATGCAAGGTAAGCACCTAAACCTCTGTGCTGTCTTTCTGGCCTCACTCTATTTTGATCAGTGGAATAAGATATTTGCGCTTATATCAAAAGCCATTTCTATCAGACAGGTACTGGGAGTTCTAGAGACAAAATCCATGACTGATTAGTATGGTCTCCTATGATTGCAGAAGGTAGGATTTCAAACTGGGATTTGAAATCTTAATCCTATCCTTAAATTTTCACCATTATAGGATATACTGGCTGAGTTTGTTGTTATTGTTGCTGCTGGCACAAGGTAGCAGCTAAGTTCATCTGATAAGATGCCTCCCTCGTATTAAAATTAGGGTGAACTCGTAATATTTTGTCATACTTTGGTAATCCAAGGGTTGAGCCATTTAAAGGTCCTCTTCTGATTTCCGGGTTCTGACTTTGATTCAAGATGGAGACTAAAAAGATGAACTATCAGTATGTGTGCTTTTAGGAAGCTGAGGTAAACAGAAAGGACAGACACTTATGCAATATGCTGTCCCCAAACTGTAAATTCTGTCTTAGAAGTAAAAGATAACTCGCAAAATGGCAAGCAGGGAATGCTAAAGTCTTAAAGGAGCTGGAGGAAGGAAAGAATTTCTGAAGGTTTCATGGAGTTAGTTATATTTAAGCCTAAAAAGCTATGGTATTTTGAGAAACTTGGGTACTTAGAAACTTGCAGGCAGGAGGAAGGAATGAAACATGACCTAGAATTGGCCAACTCTATTGCTTTTCCTGTAGAGAAATAAAATTGGTTTGCAGAATGGAACTTATGAGGGCAGTGAAGTGTGGGAAGCTGGCTGGGGAGAGAGAGGTGGGGAGTGAGGGAGGGACTCTCAGACAAGGGTGAAGGGAAATGGGCATTCCTGGCAGGTGTGGTGTTGAATACTGGATGCAACAAACCCTAGGACTGTAAAATTGTCAATAATGATGGCTAAAATGAAATACATCAAGATTACACATGCAATGTAAGCTTTGGGATGGCAAATGGCATCAACAACAAATCAATTTTTCACACATGATCATCAACAACAGTGCAGCTTTCTAAGTGAGCTCATTTCGTAGCCGAATCTAATTCTTAATCTTGTAAACCCACATTCCAACTCTTCTGATCATCACAAAAACCACTTTTGTTGAGCAGTAACAACACATGAAGAGAACAACTTAGTTTTGGCTGGCAAGGGGTGGGGAGTGGTGACATCGATCCAAGACGCCTCCTCTTGAAGCCTTTGCTGAACAGGCACAAATAGCACAAGGAAGTAGCTTTGATTGACAGCCATTTTGCAGGGTTTGAGAGAGGCAAACCATCTGGAAATTCTGAGCTTAATCACATTTGCAAACACTTGCTGAAAAAGATGCCTGGAGAGGCAGACGCAGGAAGGGGGCCTTTTCTTCACATAAAGTAAAATGCACGTCTGAAGCAATGAATGAAAAACATACCGGTAAACACCACTTTACGCCGCACTGTGAGATTCACATGGCCTTGCTTGGCAGCTTGTTGCATGAGCTGGACGACAAGCTGGTGTGACTTTCCAATGACTGGTGTCCCATCCACACAAATTAATTCATCCCCGGACCTCAGGCGGCCGTCTGTATCAGCAGCACCCAGTGGTACGATGTGACCAATATAAATCTGTTGAGTAATTGGATGAGGGGTGAAATATTGACCTTTTGGAGAGGTGCTGGGGTCTATGGGGAAGGGAGATGCATACACTGATGATGGGTGTGATGTTGGAATTATGTGCGTGGGAAATCATTAATAACAGCATTGTAAATCACAGAACCTCAATAAAAATTTAAACATTAAGTTGCATTAAGAAAAAGAGATATAACCTTTGGCTTACTATTGCCTTGATGGCCTTTTACATTCCTGAGAACAATTTATTTATTCATGGCACAAACATTCATGGAGTATTAGTACTTATTATTTAATAATAATGGTACCATTCATGGGTATCAGGCAGGCATAATATAGATTTTACTATAATTCTTAGATGGTGAGGAAAAAAAAACATTTTCTTCTTTGATTCTTTAATGTTTATCTGTGGTCTGATTATTCACTTCCTTCCTCTTCATAAATAAGGCACTTTATTTGCTCCATTTGCAAAAAAGGTTTTTTCTTCCTTTTCTACCTACCTAAGAAGATTCTTTGTAAAAACTCTGCTAATTAATAATAGTAATGCTACTAGTCTTTAAAGATCCAACTGTGTCAAGCAATAGGGAATGCACAACAAATATGGTTAAATGAGAGTGAACAAGCAAAATCTGGTATGATGTTCCCACTTCTGAACTATTTTAGCACCTGTGTACAGAATAATGTTTATATTTAATAACTTGCTATTATATTCAGCTTTCAGTAAATTTTAATTAAAACATATGTACTTTCCAGTAAATAATGTCACATCTAACTTTATGTGGCATTTATAGATTACAACGAACTTTCATAAACAGAGGTTGAGAACATGGAATCTGGCCTCAAACCTTTTCCAAAGCCTCTACTTAGTAACACTGTGCTCCCTAGCAAGATAAATTAACTTGTGTTTTCATTTTATGACTGGAAAAATGAGGATCCATTTATAGATTTGATGGACAAACAAGAAAATGTATATTACAAGTCGCTAACTTAGCATCTAAGGCACTGTAGGTGCTCAGTAAATGAGAGTTATCATTCTTTGCTTCATTTGTTTTTGGGCAACACCTGACTCTTCGATCACTCCTGGGTGGTGCTGAGGATTGAACCCCAGTCAATCCTCACACAAGGCACACAAGCAAGCACCTTACCTGCTAGTACTATCTCTCTGCCCCTAACTATCCTCTGGCTAGGGAAATGGCAAAGCTTTACTCCTTTTTTCTCCTTTCAAAACAATTTTTTTTCTATAGTATAATAAAAATAAGAAAACTGTGGTCAGAGAGGTTAAATGTCTCCTGCCTTTTTTTTTTCAGGGTTCTTTGCGTATTTTTTTGTAAAGAAAGCAGTCCCACTCTCTGAGCCTCTGCTGTTGCCTCTGGAGTGCTCTCTAAGTACTCTATAGCCACTAACACACATCACCTGCCACCAACCTGCAACAGAACAGGCCGAGCCAGAGGATCAGTTATCTTGGTTACCTGTTTAATTAGCTGATGCTTTATATGGATTCTTTTAAGAAACGGGGAAATCTAGATGCTGCAGCCACTTTTCAAACATAAACTTTTTGTGTCGGGGTTTGGGTGGGGGAGAGTTGAGGGGGCAAGGATGAAGGTTTGGGTCATATCCAGCAAAGCTGGGGTTGCTCCCAGAGGCTGCTGAGGGAATGGAGGTAGTTGGGGGATGGAGTACAGACCATGTGGTAGCAGAGATTAAATTGGAGTTTGGCTGCATGCAATGCAAAACAAAAGCCTTAAATATGCCCTCTCTCTCCAGCTCTGTAAATACAAACTTCTAGGAAGGGATCTAACTTCCAGGAAAGGATCTATGGAGTTCTTCATGCTTTATTCTGTAAGGCATGAAAAATTCCATAAAATGCAGTGAGAAACCCTCTGTTCTGATGTTTAAGTGTTTGCACCTATCTGAGCTCAACTTGTTGCCGATTTGCTTTATAGTTCTAGAAAAGAGCACCGGGGGTGGGGTGGGGTCAGGGCAGTAGACAAGAGACTCACAGGTTCCCCGGGTTCATTTCCGCCCAGAATCCTAAATCCAAATCCAGTCTCTTTTCTCCAGAGGAAGATGTCCTGTTCTTGGTAATCTGGAACTGTGGAGAAGGAAAAAAGAAGAGATTATTTGTCTGATCGAAGGACAAATATCCTCTAGCTGAACACATTTCTAGGCTCTATACTAACAGTGCTTTCTAACACAGACACAGAAACAAAAGAATCTGGGTGGGGAAATTGCAGAGGACATTGGGTAAAAGTAAAAAAGCAGAATACGTCAATGAACCCTGTGGTTTTCAAAGGACTAATCACTGTTTGATAATTCCCAATCAAGCCCAAACTATTTTGTCTGATAAACCAGAAGTCTGCATTGACTGTTCTCAATGTAAGGGAAATGAAGTAAATTAGAATTATCATGGGCCACATCACCAAGCCAAGAGCCCACATGGAAGAGAGCTCTCACTAAGTCTGTGTGACCTCTTAAGTAGAGGATGGCATGGATGATTTAGAAGTCATAGTAAATTACCTGATATGTTTCAAGTAGAGGATGAAAGAAAACAGCTCAGGCAAAGTCTTTTCAATTAAAAAAAAACCAAACTACTTTTTCCCTTCAAGTAATCAAGACAAGCAATGTGAGTAACTTGATTAGATTATTATTTTTGCAAAAAAACAAAAAGTTATTCTTAAATACCCCAGTACTTTTATATTTAAAGTTTTGGTAAGATTTTAGCACCAAAGAGCAGTATCTTCCATATTCTAAAAATCAACAGTGACAATGAAAAGTTATCTAACAATGAATCCTATATTATCACCAAAACGATGCTTTCATTTTAGATTCTACATATGGTATTTTAATAAGTATTAATTTATTATCCAATAGGTTGATGTTTTGCTTTTTATTTGCTTTTTGGTTGTTTTGTTTGGTGATGCTGGCATCAAACCCAGGGCATCACAAATGCAAGGCAAGAACTCTACTGCTATGATATATCCATGGCCAACGGTCATTTTACTTTTAAAAATCAATAATTGTCCAAGGCCTTAAAATGAAAATCTCATTTTCTAAACTGAAAAATAATTTGTTAAAGAATACTGTCTATGCTGTGTAATCCCATCAGTGGCCAAGACTCAGAGACTATAAAAATCAGCTCCTGGAACTGCGCAGCCGCATTTGCGGCCGCACGACATCTTATTATGACATCTCATTCCTACTTTGACAAACTGGCAGGCTTCCGAATGTAACCTGCCCACACGTCAGAGTCTGGCAAACTCCCCATGGCGTACCCAATATGCCAAATACCAGTAACAATGATGGGTCTCATTCTCCTAAAGAGCCTTGAATATAATCTCAGGGCTAGGATGAAGGAGACGTTACTGGGGCCTGCTCGAGGCAATCGACGAATAACAGGATGATTTGTGATTTGTGACTGTCTATACGTGAAAATTTTCTATATACCCAAGGTACTTGTTCAAGTAACACAAAAGGTTTTCTACTAAATTCTTATTTATGTTTACCATGTACATATTGTATTTGCAAACTATAAAATGAAATATTTTATTTAAAGAAGAAAAATAAAGTTCAGTAGCAGTTACTTCTAAAGAAGGTTTTTTAAGTGTTCTGCATACTTTCTGATTTATTTAATTAAATTGAATTTTGCACTGAGGAACTGTGTGGGCCTGAAAATTTAATTCTCATCTTCTCCAATTTTGTACAACAGAATAGGAAAGAAGAGGTGGTAATGTAGATTTCAAATTGGCAAAAAAAAAAAAATGTCCCTCTTTAGTGACTCATTTGTAAGCTTAAACCGTACAGTGAATGATTATACTGAAACAGGAGAAGCTAAATGAACAGGTAACTACTATATGCCAGAGGAGTTTGGATCCATTACTTTTGCTTGAGCAATCTTAATACCATGACTTAAATGGTGCTTTTTATCCCATGCTTTTTTATTGTAATTGCTGAGGCTAAGCTGCAAGACACCATGGACAACAAAGTTAAGCAACATCTTAGGACTTCCACAAACACAATTTGAGGGATAATATTTTCTTGAGTATGCTAAGGTAACAACATTTCCCGTTCAAGTAGCTGGCTACAGGGTATTTGCTATAATAGTCTTACTGAAATGGCAAATTAAATCAAGTTGGGTCTCTGTTTTGGGTTCACTCAAGCAGAATTATTCCAAAATAGACCATGGGTGCTTTCCAGAGAGCCCTGGGTTCCTGGCAGAATGTGCCATAAGTCTGTTGAGCCTTTCTGTGAACAAGGAAAGGGCCTCTGTAGAGTCTTCCAGCCAGACTCATTTCTCTCAGCATCATTTAACACAGAACACTTGCCCATCTGACACTGACATCAAATACAGCAAGTTTATACATTGTTATTGTTCATTTAATATGTGAGGTAGCCTGGTCTGAATAGTTGTTGTCAAGAGATTTAGGCTTATCATACAGTTTAGTCCATTGGTGGGGGAACACATTTATTTCTCTCAGGGAATCAGTGGAAAATTGGCAACTTTTTAGAGAGTTCTTGTTAAAAGGAAAAATGCCCAATGACACCAATGACATTAAATATGTCAATAATGAACAAAAAATACACAGACACAAGCACAATAGACATAGACATATCACAAAGAAAGTCTTTTGGCACTTTAAGTTTATTATTTTAACAATGATACTCTCCTACCAATCAAATGCCATGTACAGAAATATGCAACTTTTGTGACAAGTCAGTACCAAAAACACAGAATTTTGGTATCTGCTGCTATATCTTAGCAGGGGCACTGAGATTTTGTAAAAGAGTCCCCAGAACTGTTCTCTTTTTAAGTTTACAATTATTTTATTGAAATTAAATTTTTGGTGGCAGCAGGATAGAATATCCACCTTTCTGACATCAACATCTTCTTTCTGATGGGGCAGCACACACAGCAATGCTCAGGGACTACTCCTGGCTCTGTACTCATGAATCACTCCTGGTGTGCTCAAGGGACCATATGAGATGCTGGAGATTCAACTTGGGTCAGGCACGGGCAAGGCAAGTGCCTCACCTGCTGGCTGAACTATCAGTCTGGCCCCCTTATTCTCCCTTTAAGCAAGGCTAAGTTAAAAAAAAAAAAAAGGAAGAAAATCTTGTCCCACTTTTTAATTTTTAAGCCCTTGCAAAGAGGGGCAATCTTAGTAGCTAATTAATTGCCTTTCATTAACACGAGGGACAATTCAATAAAGTAGTCAAGAGATTTCCTTTCCTTTGATAATTAGGAAGATGGAATCACCAGTTTACAGAAAAACCTCCTGGTGTCTTCATTACTACAGACATACAATATATTTCCAGGCGGAGCTAAAACATGCCCTCACTTTTTATTTCATTTCTATCTGTGTTTGGTCAAGGAAAGTGCCAAAATTCTCCTTCATGACATTTCTTCCTTACCTTCTCTTTTTTTCTAAGTCTCTCCCCAACCCCCCAGACCAATGAGAACATCAAACACGATGAATAATAATGGAGAAATAAAAGTTTCAGCAGATCCTTACTCTGACATTCTCCAAAATTCGTGGAATTGATTTCTCTCTCTCTTTCACCCTTGCTCAATCCCGATGCAGGCGAAGGTGACATAGCTGGAATATTAATTTCACAATTTTGCAAGGCTTAATGTATGTGCTTTCTCTTAGTTCATTTTAATTTAGTTCTTATTGATAAGGAACGTGTAGTTAAGCTTTCACAGTAAAGGTCATGGCTGTTATGGGTTTTAAAAGACTATAGTTTCTGTTCTTTTTTTTTCCCCCTTGGTGCTTTTCTTGTCAAAAAGCTGAAATTTACAGTTGAATCATTGAGAATTTATAGAACTTCTATAACTATCTTAGACTCCTTGTGTTTAATTATACCCTAAAGCACACATTTTCATATGACCTTGTTTTAATCATGCCGCGAACTTTAGGTGTGTCTAACCCTTATTTCCCTTTGGTAAAAATCCGTATGCTTTTCTCACTGCTACTCGAGCAACAGTTTAAAACAACATCACATTCCTGGTGGAATTCATTCTCGAGCTAAAATCTGTTCAAATGAGTTTAAGGCAGTTCAACCAGAATAGCTTCTTATTTAGACACACAAATCATCAGATCCGGCCAAGAGCTGAACAAACACATAAATAAAAACTATCATAACAGTTCTTAAAATCTAGAAGTGCGCCCATGCTCATTAAATGCAGTATGATAAAGGAATCCATTAAGCAATTCCAGATTCGTATGCACGTGTCTCCTGAGCAGGAAAGGCCCGCAACGTTTGTCAGTGTGACAGCTTTGACATTTCTTCTTTCCAGAGCATTTTGTGAACAGGCAAAGTTTCAAGAGCAAGCTTCAGACTTCTAAATAATTACTTGTAAATACTGGAAGATACGATTTTCTCTCCCTGAATATTCATTGCTAATAAGGTTTACTAACGGGTGCCATTTTTAAAGAAGTACACAATTGGTCTGTTGCCTAGAGAAAACATAAAGCCCGTAACAGGAGTTTTTACAGGAGTTCCATGACTGCCTTTGTTTTCAATTAAATATTTAGGCCCTTCAAAGCAATGAATTAAAATATCTGCAATTCAGATTGATTCCTTTTTGACACTGCTGTTTTAACAGATGGCCATATCAAGAATACAGTATTTTAAAAAGCATTTACACCATGTGAAGAAATATGATCAGAGACTATGTTAAATTCATCTTGCCTTTCATAGTGAAATGAAACATAAGGAATATATGTTTGGCTTATTTTTTTTAAAGGTGAATAACATAGCACAACGTAAGGTGCTACTGACTTTAATATTCCTGGTTATTTCCTGGAGTTCTTGGCTCATCACAATGTATCTTAAGAGAATTTAAAGGAGCAGAGGGATCACATCTAACAGGGCTACACGTGCTGTATTAAATCTCACGAAGACAAGATAAAATACAACCTATGTAAAGAAACTGATCTGAGATACGGCAAAATGCTGATTAAAAAAAAAGAGATTGATGTAGGTTGGCTCCTAAGTACTGTGAAAAGAAGAAAAGCTGTGACAGATACTGAATAATTACCAGGGCTGAAAAGTCTTATCATTATCCTCATTTAGTAGTGAGAAGGAAATCCATGTGAATCTTAACATCAATTAGTTTGCAATGATCACTTAATTATAGTCTCCATCACAAAAAAAAAAAAGAATTGATTCTATCTGTGCTGCTAGATACTACTTCTTCAGTGTTCCTTCAAGAGTGAAGGCATAAAACCAGCTATACATACAAATATTGCAATCTGATTGACATCTGTACAATCTGATGTTTGAAGAAGCTGGCTATGGCAAGATTGTAGCATTATGGTGCTTTTTTGTTTGTTTGGAGACCACACCCGACAGTACTCAGGGCTTACTCCTGGATCTGTGCTTGGGGCAGGGGTGGACAGGTCATTCCTGCTCCTGGTGGGCTCAGGGAGCCGTACTGGGTGGTGGGAATTGAATATGAGTCGACTGCACGCAAGACAAGTGTCTTGCCCTCTGTACTATCTTTCCAAACCCTCCATTTTTGTTAATGTTTTGGGGCCACACTCAGCAGTTCTCACTGCCTGCTCCTCGCTCTGCACTCAGGCATCACTCCTGGTGGATATATGGTGTTCAAGGACAAAACCTGTATTGACCACATGCAAGGTAAGTACAATGCCCACTATACTATCAGTCCTGTATCTTTCTTTCCCCCGATGCAAACTTTTAAAAGATCGTAACAAATGCACAATTACATATCATTATTGTTGCTATTAGTATTATTATTTCTTTTCGACTGTGCCCAGTGATGCTTGGGGGATTGTGTGATGCTAGAAATGGAATCTGGTGTTCCTGAATGCAAAGCACATGCTCCAGCCTTTGCATCATCGCCTCAGCTCTAAATGCCAAATTTGAGGGAAATTTTGCTTCCCACCAAGGAGAAAATGGCATTTGAATTGGAGCCTCTTATTAGACAGAAGTGTTAGAATTACCTATCAATCTGTCATGCCTCCACCAGTGCTTGAGTACACAATTCATGTCACCACAAAAAGATTCATACATGGGAAACTCAATCCTAAATGTATGGTGTCCTGAGAAGCACAAACGGGGTCAATAAAGCAACCTCAGCATTAGGTCAAGTTGGCCCACTGATTGGAGAGCCACATTGTTAAAGAGAAATGTAGAAATAGTTATTTTCAGAAAACATTTCTCCAATAAAATCACTAATATTAGTGAGAACACAGTGGGAACAGACTCCAGGTCCAGATTTAGCAACTATTGCTTGTGAGAGATGTTCCAATTGGAAACTCATTTCCTTTAGTTTGGAATCAGGCATACTCCGGGGGTCTTTCTAGTCCAGACACTACATAAATCCCTTCTCCTATGAACTGGCTTTTGTCAGCATAGCGACCTGTTAGCCAAAATGGACTTTTAGAATCCACATAGTAAGAAGACAATGAGTATTTCTCCTTTGGGAAAGAACAGGACAGAGGGAACTCTGAGTGGCTTCTAAAATCTGATAATTAGCCAAGACTCCAGATTTGCCTCATATCCCCTAATTGCTGAATTTCACCCAGTAGTGTGGCCAAATTTCCTTCATGGACAGGGATGCTGGCCTTATTCCCTGGTTTTGTTTGGGTCACAGAGGAGTTGCTTGAGCCAGCAAAGGAAAGGGTTCAGAGCCAAATCTACGTGGGTGAGCAAGAAGCCACTTCTCACTGTCCAACAAGTCCTAAGCTGTGACTCTGCAAGGGGTTTGGCTTCAAGAGAACCACAGAAACTGTGTCTAGAAAGGAAATCTGTGGCAGGGTAAAGAGGAGAAAGAGGATGGGCAAAAGGTCTCCCTTCTCTCTCCCAGTTTAAATCAGACCATTCACCAAGTCTGGACTCCTTCATTAAGCTTTCTCTCTAGACCCATGCCCCAAAGAGAAAAGAAAGTGCATGGACTTTAAAGCTGCTTCATTCTGACCCACCATAACCATGAGGAAATGTTAATAAGATCAACTGCATCCCAACCTGCCTATTTACAGTTCCTAAGATGAAAGCATTTTTTGGACCTCGGCAGTGGTAATTGGTAGTGCTGGTATTAGTGCTTATTTATGGTGAAATAATCTTTGGAAATGATTTTCTAATAGAAAGAAATGAAACATGAAGGCAATATTGGGCCAATAAGAGCTAAAAACTTAGGTTCTATGCCTTCACTGGTTCATACTAAACAGAAAGGAAAAAACCAAAGGAGCATTCTTAACCAGAGTATAAATAACTAAAGCACAGACTAGTCAAATGTATGGGGGAGTAGGAAGATTGCTTAGAAAGACTGGCAATGGTTTAAAGAACAACAACATCAAAATAACCCACCATTCTTAAAAAAAATGAGGAAAGAATTTAATTTCTCCTCATGACTCCTTCAATCTGAGCCAATCATATTTATGTCCTATTGTATATCAGAGCTGTTCCACAAGACATGCGCTCAGAGCATGTTACACTCCCACACAGGGTGAATTAATGAGGCCGCGGCTCTTATCTGCTACTTCTTTTAACTTAAAGGAAAAATAAGTTCATTTTTATCCCGGCCCTTTATTTGATGACCGTATCTACCCCTCCCCAAACAGAGGACACAATGAAATGTAACTGCCCAGCACATCCTGTTGTTGCTCTGAGCGGCTTTGGCCTTTGACATGGATTTACCTCCTTCCAGGCTACATGCTGACTGTCTATACCAGTAAGCCTCAAGGATGAATTTTGCGAAAGATGGGAACCGGAGAGCTACTCACGTCGGTTTTCATACATGCTCCTGGACTGGGCCCAGATTTTAAAAGGATCTGGTTTTTTCTGCCCAGAACTGTCAGCTTGCTCTGGAGTGGGGGCGTCTGCAGTCGGGTACTCGGGGAGCACTTGCGTGTTGTGACTTGGAGATGCTGTGTGCAGGCTTCGGTGGCTGGAAACACTGTGCTGAGAACTATTCTGGCTGTCTTTTCTTTCCAACGGTTGCTGAAAGTGAGCGAGAGGGGGCCAGAGGAGATTATTACTGGTTCTCGAAGTGGGTGTTTTCCATCAGCTTGTCTTTGTTCAGCACTTCTGCGCACACAGACATAAATATATCAACAACGTTTCGGCTTCCACCTTTTCCTTGCTAATACTGAATGCAGATAAATCCCCAGGTGACTGGCAGACAGAGAGAGGGGCGGGCCAGATGGAAAGACATAATCACCAACCAGGCTGCTCTCTGAGCTGTAGAGGAAGACAAATCCAATTTCCATAATAGATTCTCGGCTCCAACACTGGGCTTGCTTATTACAAGATGTATCCGTTTTGAGATCCTCATTTTTTGGACAAAAATGTGACACAAAATACAAAGAGGGATTCAAAATATAGGGTTGTAATAAACAAAAGAAATACAATCAAGACTAAAAACGCTCCTTGGGACTCCAAGCCTCGCGCCTTTCAGCAATAAAATCCCCAACTTTGAACTAAAGATTTGCCATTAGTTCTTTCAGACCAGATCTTATAAAAATCACTCCTAGCCTTCTAGGGGGTTTTCTATGGGCAGGTACATAAATATTACGTGAAGAGCTTTCATAATTCTTAACCAATTTGGGGAGGTCACACTTCACCTTTGAACCTTTGACACTACTATTTATTGAAAGACATGATCAAATTCTATCTACAGGCTGATCTTGAGGGTCAACCTTCTAAAATTGGCAACGTGGGGCTGGAGCGATAGCACAGCGGGTAGGGTGTTAGCCTTGCACGCTGCCGACCCAGGTTCGATCCCCAGCATCCCATAGGGTCCCCCAGCACCACCAGGAGTAATTCCTGAGTGCAGAGCCAGGAGTAACCCCTATGCATTGCTGAGTGTAACCCAAAAATAAAAGGTAAGGTAAAGGTAAAGGCCCTCCCGTTGATCATCGATTTGCTCGAGCAGGCCCAGTAACATCTCCATTGGAGACTTTGTTGTTACTGTGTTTGGCATATCGAATACGTCACCGGGAGCTTGCCAGGCTCTCCGAGAGGGGTGGAGGAATTGAACTTGGGTCGGCCATGTTGGCCGCGTGTAAGGCGAACGCCCTACCGCTGTGCTATCGCTCCAGCCCCAAAATAAAAATAAATAAATAAATAAATAAATAAAATTGGCAACGTGTCCAATGTTCAACTAAGGGCAAGAGTTTCATTTTAATTTCAATAGAATAAGACGTATCCTTTTCCTTAGGTTCTGCTGAGGAAAAGAGTTTCCCATTTTAAGAATACTCTTTGTTTGAATACCATGCAGGTTGAACGGAGAGTAAAATGTTTGGGAGGAAAAATACTGGGTGGGAAATAAAATAATTTAAGTTCCTATTTTCTCCAATAAAAAATGTGGTGAGCCCAATTTTAGTTTTCCTTACTCCTTTCCTGCTCACCTTAAAAAAAAAATCCTGGACCTGGAAGGCTTCTCTGTCATTTAAACAATACCTTATCCTTATTCTGACAATAAAGGGGCAGAGGAAAGGAAAGATATCTCCATCCTCTCCTATGAATTCTCTGTAGCTATGATTTTTTTTTTGCTTTTTGGGTCACACCCAGTGATGTCTAGGAGTTACTCCTGTCCTGGTTTTGCATTCAGGAATTACTCCTGGCGTTGCTTGGGGGACCCATATGGGACGCTAGGAACCAAACCCGGGTCGGCCATGTGCAAGGCAAACACCCTTCCCACTGTACTATTGCTCCAGCCCCTGTAGCTAATAATTTTAAATAGCTTATAAAAAAACACTTCGACCTACCAGACTGACGGGATCATTCCAGTTCTTTAAATTTCTGTATAGACTGAAAATCTTCTCCTTGATCCCATAATCAACCCCACTGAGATGGCTTTTCCTTGCTCTGTCCCCAGGGACTCTTCATCTTTCCTTCACCATCTCTAAGGACATTTGCAAGGTCCTTTTCATTTACATCTCAGATCTCTCAAGTCCCTGTCTTTTCGGTCCTGCTTCAAAATAGGTCTCCAAAGAAGAGACCAAGGAGGACAAAGCTTCATTTATCCTTGACTACAACAGATTATAGATCTTGGAAATCAGTTCTTCCAAGGACTGAGTTGAAGAAAATGGGCATGCAGTGAATGGAAGATAGACCATTAAAGTCACATTTGGTGTTCCTATAAGAGAAACTTGAAGACAACATTCTAGATCAGCAAAGAAGTGTTGTGTAAGGCTTAATTCATGTAGACTCAAAGGACTACATAGTGTAGCGAAGATAATAGGAAAACTAAGTGAGATTTGGTCAGTGACAAATCTCTTAGGGGGGTGGAAAAAAAAAACAAACCTGGGTGGATCAGCATGGCAAACACTTAGAACGGAACCTGGTTCTGCCCATTTCTACTAGTGCCCTCACAAACAGTGAAGCTGGATCTCAGGCTGAGGTCTGCAATCCTGTGCAGAAGGTCAATAGCATACACCTTGCTTTACCTTAGAGACATGCTCAGGATTTCAGAGGAGAAAAATGTTAATGATAATTACAATACCCATCCTCTTCTGCAAGTTCCTAGGAATGTGTTTTGCTCCTTTCAGTGGCCTTTTCAAGGGTCTCTAATTATAAGTACATGGAGCTAGAGAGCACCACTGAGCTACACAGCTGCTGTTTGGGGTGTGTACACACATTACTAACATGTAGAGAAAAGTGTGGTTTTCAGAGCCAGACCCACATTCGACAGTCACCTCCATGTAAAAATTGTCCCCGCTTCAAGCTTCGTGACTAATCTCAGGAGAGATGCAAGCCAACCCAAACCACTGAAACTCGTGGGCTCAGTTCTACAGATCCTGGAGTTCCTGAAGCGTGCAACTGCATATGCAGCCACTGTCATGCCTCCAAATTCCACAATGCAAATAGCCCAGTAAGAGCACAACAATTAGATGGGAAAGAAGCATGGAAGCCAATAAGATCAATACACAGAAAACCATAACACAGCAGGCTCAACTAGCAACAAGCAGCTTAGTCAACCCCTGGACAATGACTTGCATTGTGAGATGCATTGTGAGGTATAACTTTTTCACAATTTTTTAAACTGAGGTATCTTTTAAATAATTCCATTGCCATTTTGTTGCAACAAGCAATTTAAGATAAATTGTGCCTGCTAAGGGGTTAGGCTTGGGTGGTGAGTGGGAAACTGGGAGAACTGGAGAGGACACATGGGTAGTAAGATTAGTGCTGGAACACTGAATGCCCGAAACAACTGCATTATGAACACCTTTGTATACCACTACGTTTAAATAAAGTTTTTTTTAATGTGGCTTTCAGGGTAGAATTTTCTCTCTCTTTATACCTTTCCGGACTACTTATTTTTATTTTACATTACACAGAAGATGTTTATATATGACAAAACTTAAAGCTATTTTCATTTTGAAATTGATAACAGAATTATAGGATGCTTATTTATTTATTTTTTGGAGGGGGCAGGGATTGGAGTCACACCTGGTGTGACTACTCAAGAGACCCTATGTGGTTCCAGGGATCTAACTACACCTGCATCCGTTAAGGAAAGCATCTTAACCAATGCACTTTTTCTCTGACACTACTTTCTATTTTTTACATTTTAAAATAGTTTTCTTTTTGTTCAGCCTTGGGATAGAGTAAGAAGTGAGCAGGAATTTTATTATTTTTTAATTTTTTTGCTTTCGGGGTAACACCCGGCGATACACAGGGGTTACTCCTGGCTCTCCACTCAGGAATTACCCCTGGTGGTGCTCAGGGCACCATATGGGATGCTGGGAATCGAACCCAGGTCGGCCAAGTGCAAGGCACATACCTGCTGTGCTATCGTTCCAGCCTCATGAGCAGGAATTTTAAACATGAAAGCTAATAATTATGTAGATGAAGGACCTCTGAGAGTTGCATCCTCTCCTCAAATGCTCACTTTAACTTGGTTCCTCAAATGCCTGATTGTGGGCTAAGCCCGGTGACACTAAATTCATTTCATAGTTAATATCAGCTTCTGCCTCTCTGCCTCTCAGCCTTCTCCGAACAAAAACCACTCATCAACTCTTCCCAGTGTGTCAAGGCCCCTGTGCTGAGCCTCTCTCAAGAGAAGCAGAGACAAACAGCACCTGCCTCTCTCCTGTCTTTTCTGGAATTATTTTGGAGTCCTTGGAATTCTAACTTTAACCTCTTCTCATTAGCTCCCTCTTCTGGAAATGGGGAAAAAATAATTTTCTGGTAACCCCTCCCCCACTGGGAAAGTCTGCTTAAAGGGCTGGGTCTTCTGCAGAAATGCCCATGGACTTTTATCTCCAATAGACTCAAATGTATGGATGGAGATGCTGTGTGTGACTTTCTGTGTCTGAATAACAAATCTCTGACACAGAGGTCATGGAAACCCCAAATTTCACTGAAGACCTGGTTCACTATCACCAGAGTGTAGAGACGAAGACCACTGGAAACGGCATGGGCCATTTTTCAGATTTGAACGCCCTTTCTCACCTCCCCAGTGAATGACTCAGTTAGGTCCAATTTAACACAAAATAACAGATACAATCTGGAATGAGCTTGCAAAACTGCCTCTCAATCAAACTGCACCTCTGCAGACCTTTTAAATGTCATCTAAACTTTGTTCCTAAATTTGGAACAAAAAAGCAGCATTTGAATAATATGCTCTAAAAACTATGTCACCATGAATCTAACACTAAAATAGCATATTTCTACTTATACTACAGAACTAATTACAAATAATCTGGAAGCCTATTAGATTCTGCCATAAGTTTCAACCTCACTTTATGTCTCTTCTCCAGATTAATTATGGAAGCTACTTAACAAGATAGGTTCTGTATTTAATATTTGTTGGCACCCAGGTTTCTGAAGCTCTACTCTCTGCATGTGTCAGAAAGTTCAAAATATGTCTTTTTATTTTCTGTGAGCTTTCTAATTAGTTATGGTGTTGTCTCTTTTATCTGGTTAAAGCTCAAAATTATTTTGGAGGAAAAAAGCATGTTTATATACCCCTTGAATTAAAGTCAACATGTATG